TGTGGAAGCGGACAGCAACGGTCGGTATAATCGCGAACGACGGTATCCCTGATCACGAGTGCTGTAAACGACGCCAGCGTGTACGAGACACACCTTCTTTATTTTTGACCCGAAATTCTCGAGCAGGATTTCTATCAAACACTTCGCGTCGGGAGGGCTCTGGAACTCCAAAGCAAAGACAAACGCATACAGACTTCCGGAGGCAAAAACGTTTTTTTTTCTGTTGTTGAACAAAACAGTATTTATCGGAGTCGTCGTTTGGGACCTGTCACCCGCAGAAGCCAGACACCTATATCACGGACTCAACCGGGACTCCGGTGAAAAAAAGTTCTTTCTGCTTTTTATGATGGTGGACGGGAGGGACGTAAGTGTTTCCTCACCACCGCGTCCGATCAAGACTCAAGACTGCCTCCCAGCATGCGGTCATCTGGGCCCGATGGTGGCAGCGTTTGCGTAAGCACGTCCTCGAGAAGGAAGCCTCAAGATCTCACGTCGAGAAGGGGAGGGAATTCCGATCCGATTTGAATTGGGGTTCGGGGAGGCGGGAGGAAACAATGAAAAAAAGTGAATCTGAAGAGGAGTGGGAGAAGTGAATCTGCGCGCATGAATGCCCAAGATATTACTATGCGCAGATGAATTACCCTCCAAAAGCAATTTTGATGCTCCTCGGGATCATCCGAGTCCTTCCGGTGAGAATCTTATTTCATGGGTCTCCGCCGGACTTCGCCTCACGGCTTGTCTCCGCCTTGTCCGAGATCGTCCTCGGTTTTCTTGATCAAGCTTCGAATTCGTTGCGGAAGTCAGCTCGAGTGGGAGCTCCCGACAGCAATATGTGTCTCCACTCAGAAATCAGAAGGGTACCCTTCACTCACGAGTTTAGCTTGCTTAGCGGAGAAAATCGTCGGAAAAAATGTTCTGCGCGCTGATTGCAAGGGTCTCTGGGCTTCCCTCCGTTTCGAGTTCCGCAGCCAATTGTGAGAACAGAGGGTTCTTTACATCGACCGCTCCTCGGTATTCGGAGCGTTCTTCCGCGCACGATATTCCGCGTCAGGCTTTCCTTGACCGAAAAGGTTCCGGCGGAGTATCGATCCCGCTCTACAATTCAATGTCTACTCGAGAAGACACACCATGATTCATTCAAAAATCAAATCCTTCCTTCCGATCACGTCTTCGAGCATGATTTCCTGGACCCGATGAATTTGATTCTCTGCCCGGACGTCGATTTGCATGAATCGCAATTTTTTCGAGAAAACATTGCAATTCACAAGCCAGCCTCGATTAATTGGCGAAACCGAATCGTGTGATCGCGCTTCCTTCCTAAATCTCTTGGGCGGCTCCATCAGGGTGGCCGAGCAGCCCCAGAGGGGATATTTCTCCCGGAACTCCGCTGGAATAGAATCTTTCGGAAGTTGTATAGAACTGTCAGGGTAGAGCCTCTGACAAATATGGGAGGATAGCGGCGAGCTTCAATCTGTCAAGTGCTCAATATATCCGCTCGTGGACCTGTTGTTTCGAATCGTCGAAGCAGCATCGCTCGCCTCGGCTCACTGCGGCAAAGGGTTATCTTCAGCTATACAGAAGAGACGGAACGTCAAGGGGGCATCGACTTCTGCCGCTGCTTTGAAAACTTTCACGGCAAAGGCTTTCTTCCTTCCGGATCTTCAGGCCACTCACCCCGACGGGGCTGTTAGACCGTCGAATGGACTGGTCGCCAGCCGCTACCGGGAGCAAGGTCCTCTGAACAACGCTAGGCCCCGTTGCGTAGCAGGAAGGATTTCCGTCGTCACTAGCTCCGTCTATATTTTTTCATGCGGATGAGTGCGACGACGTTGTTAATGTCAAACATCAGGATACTACGAGTAGGTGTATTCGCTGCCTCGAATGGGTCCTTGTATGGAAACTCGCACATAGAGAACCATTCACGAGGACTCCGTACGGAAAAATAATTTCCTGCGACGTCGATTCTCTGCCAGTCATGAGTTTGCGTGCTTCGATCTAATAGACGATAATGCTCGATTGAGTGTACCATACCATGTGCGACGAAAAATGATCCCCGCGGGTGTTCTTCGGGAATTATCAAGTTCACGATCGCACCGAGAACTGAGACCGAATCTTCTTCGAAGTTCAACTTTTAGAGCAATCTTCGCAGACTTATATTCTTGGTAGAGCCGATCAAAAATTCCGTGACGGCATTCCTAGTATCATTAAGGACGACCAGTGAAAGAGAAAGTAAATAGGTGATACCATCGAGGCTATGTGAACGAAGAGTTCTTTTATCTTGGGGAAGCGTGAGTCGACCCAAATAGCCGGAAGGTTTCGTAACCGATCGAAGCAGACTTAATGGTCATGAATGTCTCACTAGCGAGTAGCGACAAACGATGGGTGTTATTCTGCGCATTGCTCGTTCGCTCGCTCGGAACACGTCATCTTGGGGCATCGATCTTGTCATGGGCTGGATGCGATCTACCACCTGACAGCGCTTGTTTCCATTTCCACGAAACGAATCGACACTCATCAAGATTTCCCTTCTCGTCAGGAGAATTCGCTCTATACTTCACCCCATTCTGCTTGCTCTCTGACGCCGGCCTTCTGCTTCGGAACTCACGAATCCCATTGCTAGAAGAACCGAAAAGCTAAATCATGGGGAAATGAGGTTCTTCCACCAGTATTCGCGAGTTGACGGAAGCTCCCGCGGTAATGCACAGTGGAATTTTCCAGTGGTCGAAGACATCCGATTCCCAATCGACGACAAGGTAACAATCCGATTGAGACCTCCTCCCAGTTACGTCAGCTCCAAGGGTCCCCTTGAAGACGATCAGCAAGCCCTGGGGTCGGATCACATCGAAACTACTATTGTCAAGGGCTCCCCAAGTCTGGAAAGAGGATACTCACGAGCGATCTCTCCGTTTTCCTCCGAACGACTGTCTTCAGCATCCTCGAGACCGTATGGATTATTATCGAAGACATCATAGAGCAGCGATATTCATGTCGGACACTATCCCGTCACCAATGAATTCCATCAGGATACCTCCCCCTCGTGAAGGGATATAGATCAGACGAGTTGGCCGACACGCATACTCCCTTGGGATCGAAATTCGATATCGCATCGTCCTCCCGACCGGTGCCCCGATCTCGTCTCTCTGTAGACTTGTCAGAATTGTGGTGATGTAAGATGTCCAGGAGAAAAATACTGGGAATCAGCAGAGCTTAGTGATGCAATCGGGCAGTGATCGTCGCAGTACTGGTTAGTTACCTGACGAGAATCAAGTACATGGATGCTTCGTGTCAATGCCAATGCGACCGGCCGACCGGTCCGGCCGATTATCGTCGATCATTTCGGAGCCGGTAATTGAGACAGATCAAATGGAGTCGTATAGATTTTCGGTGCGATCAATGAAATTCCGCCAGGGCTTGGTTATATAACAACGCCTTCCGGCTGGTCTTCGGTCCGCTTGTTGAGCACTTGTGGAAAACGAGCGGCATCACTCGTGGTGGCAGCGGCAGCAGCAACAGCCAGCCAGCACGTCCGGTGGTTGCTTGGTTCAGAGCCAAAGTTTCTTCCGGGTCGTCCGCCTTTTCCGGTCGGAAGTGGGTCAGTGAAGCGGTGAGCTGTGTGGTGATCAGCAGGAGCGCTTTCACTCCGTGAAGTGACTTCGTGAAGCCGCCGTAGTTTCGGTCGCTGGCACCAGGGGGCAGCCGTCTGAAGTCAGCCATTGAACCAAGGATCCCAGCCGCCTGCCCGACCGAGCCGCCGGTCGAGCGGGCGATGATCTAGGGGCGGCCCGTTTCCAGAAGCCATTGGCCCGAAGAGGAAGACGGCTTTCCGGCGGTGGTGGTGGCAGCAGCGGCAGCAGCCGCGCGAAACAGAAAGGACGCAAAGGTCTTCGACCGGGGCTTTCACTCACTTTCTGCCGCCAGGGGGCGTCGGGCCCACGGGCCGACTGAAGTCGCTGAAGTTTCGACACCGCCAACAGTCAGTACAAGCTGAGCCAGGTTTGAAGCGGGTTGTGTGTTCGATCGACGGCAACCGCGCGCCCCACCGTGGCGTAGACTCTTTCGTAGTGATCCTGTCAACGTGTTGTGTCTTGGTCTCTGGTCAACAAGGATTAACCTCCAGCCGAGCGGTAATTTTTCCTCGCCTTCGTCCTCGACTCGATCAAGGAAGTCAAACCCGCGCGCTCTGCGTCGACGTAATATCTCTCTACCCGGTATCTGAGCGGCTTCGTCCGACTTGTGCTTCGTCAAATTCGGACAACTGATTCATCGTTTTAAAAGTGACCGAGTGCGTTGTGTTGGAGGATTTCTCTACTCGTAAATCGAACACCGTTATTCTCTCTAATTTCTCCCGGATATCGATAACGTACCTAGTTCGTCGACCTCGTCCTCGTCCAAGTCCAAGTCCGACTTCGATTTCGGAAAATCACCGAGTCGGAAGCAGGTGCAACATCAGTGAGCTTTCGGCATTCGAGCGTTCGACACCAACGTGTGAATTGAAATCTCAGGTGTCAGTCAGCCACTCAGCGAAATCTGGATCAGAACGTTCATCGCAAGCTCAAACGGCAACAGTGTCCTAAAATAGCCGCTGATATCAATTGAGCAGAAAAATTCCCCGCGTCCGATTTCATAACAGTTTTGCCGCTGCCGCCGCCGGTGGCGCACAAGAGAAAGTGACTTCCTTTGAAGAGTCGCGGACTGACTGACCCACTTGCTGGCGATGTTACATCAGGCTACGCTGCAGCTCTTGAAGACGAACAACAACGACCGCGCTTCTAAAGCACCGCTGTCCGCCGTTGCGGCTGCTGGTTCGGATTCCGAATAATCCAAGACCGTCTTACGTCGCGTGGGTGGAACGCGATTACGTTCTCTGAGTTGTCGTCTCAGTGGCGTCTGTTATTACCGACGTCGTCGTTGCGGTCGTACTAACGATACACGACCAATAGTAACGGATCTTCACCCGCGGGCGGGTGTTTAGAGGTCGTAGCTGGTCTACGGCATTTTTAATGGCTTCAGCCATCCATTACGCTGTTTACGCGGACACTCTAAAAGGCGACAAAATTCGTTCTCCATTCCCACCTGTGTCGAGCCTTTCGGGCCTATTCTCAGGACGAGAGAAGATGGCGGCGCATCCTTTCGGACCAATGGCTCTACCCGTTCCCCCGGGCGGTCTCCCGAAACTCGGGGCCCATCCCGATAATCCGGGGCTCGACATTTGGCTCCAGCTGACGCGGAACGCCGCCGAGGCTCGTCACGAGGCCGAGCGGGCTTACCACAGACAGGAGTACGCGCATCAGACCGAGCTGCCGGACTCCCCATGCGACCTCCGCGTTTCTCCGAGACCCATTTCTCTAGTCAAACAGGCGTACCCTGTTAGCAAAGCGGGCTCACCGTCGAGCGGAGGGGGAGCTCCCGTAAAACGCCGAGGGCGAGGCAAAGAGAGGATTTGGACACAGATCGAGTGTTTCAACAATGACGCACAAGCGAAGGCTTTTGTACAGGCGGAGAAGACCTGGGTCATGCAAAAGAAAACCCAGGTCCAGGAAGGTACCAAGGTCTACTACGAATGTTCCAAATACAGATCTGCGAAATGTCCCGCTGCAGTATCCATCCTGTACCATGCCAACAGCGACAAGGTCTCGGTATTCAGAGCTTCAGGGGATCATAACCACGCGCCTCTAGAGCCTCGACACAAGAACACCGCTGCCGTGACGACGACGACCGCGGCGCTCAGCGCAAGACGTCCGGAAGGAACGACGGTCATCAAAAATGGACAGGAGATCGCGAGACTTGCTCTGCAGGCGGGCGGTCCGTATAGTCCTCCGGATCCATACCGAGTCGAGGTGCCGACGCTGCACCGTCCCGTGGCGACGTACCCGAGCGTGAAGAGACAACCCGGACCCGATCCGGCGGAGTTACGACAGAAGTTCAAACACATAATCGGAATCAACGAGACCACGCCACATATACGAGCACCGGAACCGCCTCATTTCGATTATACGAATTATCTTCTACAACAGTATCCAAGCCATCATCATCATCACCTTCATCATCATCACCCGGCTCTGTCGCAAATTGAGTCACCGCCAATAATAGCTTTTAGACCTTTGCCAAGAGAAACGAAACTCATCAGAGACGGCGACGGAGGCAGCAGTCCCGCGCGTAGCGACCCGGGACACGGTCACGAATCGGGATCTGAAAGCTCCACGGGAAGCCCCAACGACCGAGACACGGTTCGCAGCGTAATTTCGAGAACACCCTCGGCTTCGCTCTCGTTGCCCGACGCGACGCGGTGCTTCGTTCCCAACTGCAAGAGTAATTCGGGCGTGGATCTGTCGGTCGCGTCCCCACCGTCCTCATCGGGAATCTCGTCGTCGTCCTCTTCGTCGATATCTTCGAGGTGCAAACATTCCTCAACGATGGTTCGCTTCCCGAAAGACATCCTGAAGAGAATGGTTTGGTCGATGAACGTTAATCGTACCAACCACGACGGATCTCTTTGCATCGCTCAGAACGGTGACCATATCTGTTCGGCCCACTTCAGTCCCGAGAGATTCGAGCAAAATGGCGCTCTGAAACCCGATGCAGTTCCAACAATGTTCGGACCCGACCTCGTATCGAAGGATCCAGCCGTCCTGGAGCAAGACCACACCGATTGCAAGGTTTGTATCCAGTCTCCTCCGCAGTATGATCCTATGCAATACTCTTTATATGAACGCCTGGAGCAGACGATATCCTGCTGCCCTGAGTCAGAGCATAGTATGTACATAGTAGTATGAGGCAGCGAATTCCGTCTCGGGGGCAGCCTGACCGAAAATGGAAATTTATCTCGTGACTCTCATTCTCCAAGTTCTCCATGCTTCGGCGAACTTCATTGCTCGCAATTTTGCCCTGAAGGGTCTCAAACAATCCTCTGTTGCAGGTCACGACGTCGAAAGAAGTCCCCGTGCGTAGATCGAGGCTGTCTCGGAAGAGAGCTCGCAGCGTCAACCTCCTGAGGCGACTTCAGAGAGCTCAGCACACCGTCGACAGACTCCGCCTCAACAGTCGTGCTCAGTGCGCCAAGATCAACATCCTACGGCGAATGGTCGCCAAGTGCATGGTGGACCGCAAGGGACGGAGTATTTCAAGCGACCGAGATTAGTGACCGTTCTCGTGTGCATATCATCCGCATCTCTGGAACTCATCCGCGTAGCATGTTCTCCCAAAACGCTTAGTTGAACCATATCTCACACCCCATACTCCACAAAACTGGCAATGTTGGAATGTAGAGGCCAACTCCGGAGGCGATGACGATAGAGAGAACATTAAGTCCGCACAACGAACACATTCATCAACATTTTTCAACGGAATTCCTTCAAGCTCATGTCGATCTGAAAGCTGGCGAATCTGCATACCCACTTATCAGCTAGGTGGAGTCGACCACCAAAGTCCTTATCCCAAAAAAACGCGAGAGGCTATTGTGGCCTCGCACCGCATCGCTGTCCGCTTACCTCAATTCTCTTTTTTATTCTCGTTTTTTATAAGGAGCAATCGCTGTCTGAGAGAACGGATACGCTCCGCATGTTGTTAAATTATCATTGATAACGATCCGGCTGCTTGCCGTCGTCGTGAGAATTTTATATTCGAGTGATAGATTCGACGGATCTGTTGGAGATTCATTCACTTAAACACTCCACTTATTATATCTTCACTGTTGTGTTTGGGATATCGTCGCGGGTGTTTTCGTTGAGCATTCACTGTCATGGGTCATGCATCCGTCGCTGTTGTTCATGATATTGGTTGGAGGAGCTTCATCGAATCATCATCCATATTTACCTTGTTACAAAAAAAAGAAAAATCCGTACAACATGAGGACGTCAAAGCTTCGCTACGTCCTTGAACTTAGGGAGACCCTGGGAGGGTCTACTGTACATAGGGTTGATTCATTTAACGGGAGCGGGCTCTCCTGAGCCCTGGTCTCCGTTAATTTCGGTTGTTTCTCAGGAATGTGGAAGCGCTTGGGATGTTACGGTTGTTTGCTTGGGTGGTTTGGGGGTGATATATTTACAGCTGTTGTAGATGTCGATGATTGTCTTGTCGTCGTTGTGGTTCCCGTTGAAGCTTATATTTTATCACGACGAGTAGTCACCGTGTTGTAGTCGTTCACCGATGTTTGCGAGCTCTCTCTTTCTGTTTACCATACTTAATTATATTTTAAGTTTATTATACATATATATTGACACGTTGAACACGTTTAATACCCATATACATATTACGCTCCTCAACCTTCACCTTTCGACTTTGTTGGGGACATTCATTTGTGAGGGGTTTGTTGCGAGCGACCCCGTGGCTCGTTCCGTGATTGTTCGTTGTTACACGTGCGGTATTAAGGTTATTGAGACGATACTATTTCGGAAATAAAATGAGCAGCATACTTTGTTGTTGAAATGAAAATTCGCATCCTCGCTCTAGGCCTCCCTAAGGGGCGACCCCGTTCATCATCCATGGAATGGATGACCTTGCCTTCCATTCTCCAAAATTCGCTCTGCGGAGATTCCGGTGTAGGAAAGTACGACATTCCTCAAAAATCTCTTTTTATTCTGATCCCGAATGTGAGACATCAAACTAACTCTCTCGCCATCGGGATCGCTCTGGATCCCTTTTGAGCTCTTGCTCGTTCAAGGAGTCAGTCATATCCGACGACTCAAGACCTCCCTTCCTCCGATGATTCCAACGCCGACTCCAGCGATGAGGATCGTGGATGCGATTCCGAAAATGAGAGCTCCATTGTAACCCTCCGCGACGTCCGGCTCCTCATCCTTCTTGCTCGGCTCCGTGGTCTGGAAACATCGATTGAAACATTGACGGATCTAATGCCCCCACCAGGCTGTATCCTTCGTTATGACAATCAAGCACAGGCCTCGAGGGGGCGCGACATCCGTCAGATTCCAAATCAGCATGGGTTGCCCCCCGTGAGGAAGAATCCTGGATCCGCCTCTGGTTCGAAATAGTCCCCCACAACTCCATCACCAGCACTCCACGGGGGAGGGCTCCCGACGAAGGACCTAGGATTGTGAAACGAAAAACTTTACACTGTGAATGAACTCACTAATTACTCACGGGGGCGACTGAATCCGAGCTTTGAGTCTCCGGAGAGGTTCGAGGACTAGGTGGCGTTGGCGGAGCTATAGTAGTGGAGGGCGCTGGCAGACTTTGTGTATAAGGATCTGTCACGGGAACGAGCGTGGTCTTCTCCTCAATCTCTTGAGCATCCTTCAGCGAGCCCTTCCGAATTGCGAACTTCATTCCATTCACGTCCACATCAAGGGCGGAATCAGAAATCGCTCCCTGAAGCTTTTGGAAAACTGCATCGAGACGCTCGGATTCGGGCGAGTTCTTTGGCGCATCGAAGATATAGAATTGGAAGATCGATTCTTTCTCTCCGAGAATGACCTGAAAATTCAAATCCCATGAGAAGCAGCTCCCGAGCGAACGGATATCGGCTCTGGGCAGGTGGGAAAGCCGAAAGTAGGCTAAGGAAGATTGAGATCGCTTCATCCGATGGAAACCTACGGCATCAGTCGATCCGAATCTGTAAGAGTCTGGAGATAGTCCAGATACTTCCAGCAGCTTATCCAGCAGAGCTGCCTTGAAAAGACCTGACTCGACGGCGAATTCCACGTCTTCGCCCGCGTACATGGGATCATTCACACCTGCAATCGGTCACCGATTCCGAAATACGGCCGGAAAGGAGACGTCGTTCCCGAATCATGCTTGCGGACTATATCAGCTTTTTTGAGCTCGATCGAGACGGGTTCTCCCCGAGACTGCGTCCGAGGGAAGTCGTTCCAGAACTCACTATCGACCATGACTTGGAGATTGCGTTTACGATCTAAATCGAAACAAGGTTCGAGCTCGGTGAATTGATCGAGGTATAGTGTTTTCTGATCAGGATGCTCGGTATCGTAGAGGCTGTACGACTCCTGGTATCGTCCTTCCTCCGAGTCGATGAATATGTCGAGATGAACCTGTACGGCGCGGCGGATCACGATATCGAACTCATGCTCTCATAGACATGTCGTAAGTTTCAAAGGGTAAGAGGAAGGACTCACAATGTATTTTTTGATGCCTGCGGCCGTGTTTACGTCGGCGATACACCACTCCCACACAGAGGAGGGACTTTTCTCCGGCAGATAATCGGTACGTCGGCCGGAGACTAAATCGCAATCGATTCCGCGGCGTTTCGTCTACAGATTAGGGAATGAGAAAAAATGTATCGCATGATTGAAATTACGATTATAGTCTATTGAAGGATCCAGCAGCTTAAGCACAATTAGCCCCTTTAAGCATGACCAATGAACAATGCGTCGATGAGTATAGACTCGTCTCCTTTCAAATATTATATAGTATGCATCTTCAATCAGCGACTCGGAACCGCCGCTTCGCGAAGTCGCCTAACTCACCCTGGTCTTGATTTTGAAGTGCTCATCCACTCCGAAGAAGTCTCCCGCACTCTCGACCGAGAAACTCACGAAGGTCCACGGGAGTTTGGATGCCTCGCTCAGATCCATGACGTCGCACGTCCGAACTCTGGTGTTCGGATTGGCGACATTGTAGATAACCTCTGATGGAAAGTGTCGCTCACAATTAGCCTAAATTGCTCCTGCTCCGACTTATACAGTATCGTTGCGGGGGAATCTCAAATCGATGTAACCGCTCACTTTGACTAGTCGAGAGGAAATAGTCATGGACACCATTATCGATGCGCAAAAGTTTTCTATCGAAATCCAATGCAATCTGAAACGAGGAAGAGCTCGAATCTCCGAAGCGAAAGGGTGATTGAATTAGATACATGGCCTCAAGGAGGTGTTTCGTCCACCCTACTAACGTCGGCTGTCGTCACGTTGCCGTCGAGAACTTGCTCCGTTCGGAGAACTAGAGTCGATGCATCGAAGACATTAGGTATATCGGAACGCCCGTAGCCATCACATTGGATACCGGCCGCGGGACTCGCGTCCTGCTCAACGGTGACGTTCCAGGCAAACTCCATTATGGACAAGCGTTCTTTCGACCTCGTACCTACGGATTGTAGAATCTTGAAAGTGAAGTGGAATCGATCGCGGAGAAGCGCCTTGTCTACCCACTTTCTCGTTCGGCTATTCTCAACTCCCAAGTCCCCCCAATTTTACCGTTGCTCATGAGGCAGATCTCCACGGTCAGCGGAATCATCTTCGTGAAATCGTGGACTTCCTCTCCTCCTTGCCCTTCGAAGATGACGTAAGCTTCTTCAATGTAGTCTTCTTTATCTGATTGGTCATCTAAGTTGAGCGGAACTTTGACCGCAGGAAGCCCGCGCTCCACGACGTACTTCAGGTCATCAGTCTCAGTGATCCGGTATTGGAGTTCACTGTCGATGGAATCGAGAGGGGGAGCGGTGAAAAAGATTGTCAAAGTAGTCCACAAATCTTCTATATATGTAGCACAATGACGAAGCTCTCGGAAAATAGAATAATCGGCCCTGACCAGCTTCATCTGCCGCTCGAATCATGGCGATGTAAACTATCTCTGACCCGCGGCCGCTCTTTCTGTTCAAGATAGGCATCATTAGAACACTCACGTCAGGATGGTGTAGGTCGGTGCATAAACGGCCTCCGATCTGAAAGCCCACGCATTGAAGCGCGGCAAAGAAGGATCGTTCCCGGTGACGTTTTCGCATTCTTAAAGGGTAATTTATTCCGATTTTAGCTCTTGAATGTACCGTTCCCAAAGCCGACGAATTCGGTCCCCAGAAAGTACTCACGATTGCCCATCTGCAAGAAGACCCGTCCCGCTTCAAGATCGCCGAAAAAGGATACAGTGTCGATATCATCGTAGTTGACGAGGAAAGCTGTTTTATTGATTGAGCCACCATCGGAATAATGAACTTCTTCGAAGTATCTTGTTGCTTCCACGGAAAATCCTTTCTTGCAGTCAGACACGTCACCCGTCAGATATTCCCCGACAGCGCGGAAATTCCATAAGCATTCCACTCGAACATTAACACCTACGGCCAATGAGAAATATCCACAGTGTGAGAAAACGCGGCCGCTCTGAAGCAAGCCCCTATCATGAAGATGTTCCTGCGCATGAATTCCCCCATAAATTTCCTGCTGCAGGCTGCGAATGGTCGAGACTGAGTTGCACTACAACAAATGCTCGTCGAAGCATTCGTCCTTTCAATTTTCGCAAGAAGTTCCCTATTCGCTTCTGGAGAAGCCGGTAGACGATTCTTCAGCTCCACATATTTCACCCAGCACGGATTGTTCTCGATGGATTGACGATGAGAGGACAACGCCACATGTTGAATTCGACGGCGGCAGGATACGTTGAACAAAAGGCGAACTCACCTAGAATAAGCAACAAGAAACAACACCGAGCTGTGGTGGCCATGTTAGAAGCTAGGTCAGTCCACAAGACAAATGGAGATCTCAACACTGACTTCTCAGCTTGACAACTCCCTCCGAGAGCTTAAGCTAAGCTATTCGCCCTGCCATCTAGTTCGCCGCGTATCCCAGCGACAAAGTCTGATTGATTCGAATTCGAGGCGAGGAAAGCTGCACCTATCATGGCTTTGCTCCCTGCGAGAATCAACCATTCGATTCCGCAATCCCAAATCATTGCACGCGGCGATTTCAGTGGCATTCCCACTATCAATTTATTCACGTCTTTCAGATGTTCGCTACAGAGCTGATCTGGGATCTCCTCCCGAGATTCTTCGGAAATCATTGTCTAAGGGACGAAATTGCACGATAAAGCTCCCATTCAGCTACACCGGAAAATGGCGGGGGTTCGTGCTGAAACGGAACATTCCGGTCGCGTTCATTCCCGGCTCCACGCGAATGGTAAGCGACAGAGTCGACGGAATCTCATGTATCCTATCGAGTTCCGCTATCATCCGGTGAAATAAAGCAGAATCCCTTGGACTCCTCAGAGCCCCTGCTATGTCGAATGCGGCAGCATGAGGAGAATAAGATTCGCTGGAGCATACTTCATTCCCGATGGAGGCGATTTTAACAGGAAATCCTCACATCGCAAGACCGACAAGAATCCCCAGCAGAGGTCGGTTTCTTCAGGAGGAATACGCCTCCTCTCGTGGAAGAACTCGATGGTCGTATCCTTGTGATATGATACGATAGCTTCTCGCGGGATCGCGGCGCAGAATATCTCTGCGGAATCATCAAGTGATCGCAGAACGAAGAGTTCATAAATATATTTACAATTAGCTTGGGAGTTCGGATCGAAGATCTCCGGCCCCGATCCGATCTTTTCCCCCAGAGCCTGACGTGAGGCGATGCCCTCCCTCTTCACTCCAATTCAGCTCTCAACATCCGGGAGGGAATATCGGCACATCCATTCGGGCTCAGTTTTGGGTTGGACAATACGCGCTCGAATGTCGATGGAGACAAACCTCATCGCTAGTCGCACAGCGTGCCTCTCTCCGACGACACTCATCTCAGTCAGAAGCCCGGAAGCATCGACACAACAGATTAATTATGCGCATTATTGTAGCTGACACCCGTTCGTTTGCCCAGATCAGCGATCAGGCTCTCGTCCTTGTAGACTTTCTTAGCCACATCGATGGATAAGAATGGAATTTTGAACAACGTCATGTGGAATGTTTTCTTGAAACTAACATGATCATGCGCATGACCCTTAATGACTCCCGGCTTAGATCCTGGGTGATGCGATCGCTTGCGAAAATAGCCTCGGACTCTCTCCGCCGGCACAGCGCAGTCTGACTTGATGGACTTTTTTTTTGGCGCCACCGGTGACACGATCTGATGAGTTAAATTTATCACCGGCGGGGAGTGATGCCACGGAATCGAGAGAGGATTCAACGACGCGAATTGAGGATGGAAAACCGCTTTCGGAACAGTCTGCGGATTCGGAAATGGAAGTGGTTGATAGTAGAAAGATGTAGGAGGAAGCGGAGCGGCGAGAGCATGCGATAAATGATTTCGCACGTGAGGGCCATTCGTGTCTGAATGTGGTGAAAGCTTCGGTCGCAGTGGGATGTGAGCGACACTCAGACTGTTTGTATAAGGCGGAACAGAAGCTGGAATTTGAGCCAGCGTCGGGTTTTGAACTTGATCGTCTTTGGGAGAAACGAATACTTGTGGTACATGAACCTGACTGAGTGACAATTTTTCATTTGCGGGCTGAGACTCCGAAATTGTCGAGGATGTTAAAGGGTAACGGACCGGGGGTGGCATAATTGGGATAGAAGTCTGGATCTGAGGTACGAACTGCGTGGGGGTAACTCTTGGATCGAGGAGAACTTGAGGATTTTCTGGGTAAACAGCGGTCGATATGGACGCATAGGGTTCGATCGTCGAGCGTTTGGTTCCATCCCGGCGCAGGATTCTCCTTTCTGACGAGCGTCGCTGGATCTTATCTTTCAGTTTTTTCCTCCTCAGCGCCGAAAGTTTCCGTTTTGATTTTTTCCTCTTTCGACGAATAGATTCTGTCGTCGTTGTCGGCGCTTCGGTCGTCGTGATCTCTGTCGATGTGGATTCCACCGACGTGAGAGTCTCCGGAGTTTCTGGTTCTTCTACATCCCGATCGGTGAAGTCCTCCATTGGCGGGGGCGAGTAGGGCGACGGCGGAACGTCTTCTTCGCTATCGTTCCACGAGGCTTGCCTGTAATTTTATCGATCGTGTTCTTAATCGAGACGTCTCATACCGTCGATGTGTTGATCGCTCCGAGAGTCGACGCGAATGAAGTCATCCAGCTCACTAGACTATACCCGAGTCAGTCGCAAGTGGCGCCACCGCAGGTGAAGGTCAGTTGACATGTATGGAGGAAAACGACAAGAAGAAACAAGATATCGAGAAATGCGCGCCCATACACAGCGGCTCTTACGCCTTAAGGATTCAGCTAACTAGCGACAATCATTCGGCTTTGATGAGCGAGATGCTCGCTGGGGGAAATCAGCAAGGTCGATACGGTGATAAGGCAGAATGATCGTTCGCTTACCGATCATCGTCACAGATGCTTCCCATTCGGACGACAAATCAGAAATCAGAGGGTACGACTCAAGAATTCAAGGCGCTGTGATCCTCAAGGAGGACTCGCGTTTTATTTATTAAGAAAACGTCCGCTGCCTGTTCGCTCTGTGATTCATTGGGCACTTCTTCGCCTATGGGTTATCACGGCAATTGCCGAGATCAGCGCTCCAATCCCGCTCCATGCTATCTCCGAATGAGAAAAGTCACAAATCTCCCTCTTGAGATCAGCGAGCTCAAGAGTTTCGCTGCCTTGAGGCTTGAACGACCGAGAGTGGCGCTGGGCTTATTTTTCCGTGGCTCGGCAGATACCGCCCATTTCTTCAGATTCTCTGCGCAAGATGGCATGATAGTTAAGCCGAGATCGGACACGACTTAGTTGACATACACGTGCAGCGAACTTGTAACGGATGTTGTGCAGGAGCGACGGGCGGCCTCTCTGATTCCTAGGGAAAAACAGCGCTCTCACCCTGCAATTTTGACGTGAAAACGTCTTTACCCAGGGTCGGGTGACCTGTTCGATGTACTTCGTCATCCATATAGCCATAACTTGTCGCACTTTGCGGTCTTATATCTCGATCCTCATTCACGCTGGCCGCAAACTGATTCCTGTATCGAAAGGGGAATTCCCGGGATTCCACTCTGAACGAGATCCTATCGCGAAGCGCTACATGGTTGCTCCATGATGTCGGTTTTTCTACATACCCCTCGATCAAGCTCGGAATCTGATAAATAATAGTGAATTCTAGGCTTCTCGTGGGGTTTTGAGAGGAGAATTTTATATATGGAGCACGATAGAGAGAAAACTAGCAAGATGCAATAATTCTACCCGATTATTGAGGCGAGGTTCTCCAGACATTCCCTCGAAACTCTTCATTTCCGAAGCTCCCCCAATGTGGAATGATTCGGTCGACTAAATAATGAAGTTTGCCTGAAAACGATGACTTCGGCCCTCGAGTCTGTCGCATCGTAATCGAAAGGTTCCTAATCTGGGAACGCTGGTCTATAATGAGATGTTGCTTCATCAGTAAAACAATGCTGTATCAATCCTTTCATCCAAAGAATGTCGACGTCATTCTCATACGGGTCTGCGCCTTGCGCGTCAACTCTCTCGCTCTATGACCGTCCGATTTGGAAGCAAGCTCACACCAAGCCACATCACGAAAGTGATTGCACTGAAAGCTATCGCTCGTCCGGTTCTCACGAGGTGGAATCCTCGCGAATTCACCCACCGGAAACAACTTCGCCACCCATAACCATCCACATCCCAACTCACTATGGATTCCATGTCCGTCGATGCTGAGTCTAACTAAATTCTCCGATGAACGACAACAACAGTAACCGCGGCCTCTCAGCAGTTGCAAGGAGGAATCCGCATCAAAACAGCACTCGACCGAAATCAATCTAGCCCATGCGGTCGAATAAGGAGGACCAATTATCCGCCGGTAGTCTCGATTGGCCGGAATGAATACCTTTCAGGCACATGACGCATGAGAAATTTCGTCCACCAATACCCTCAAGACGTTTTCACGCATGGAACGGTGATGTCCCTGACATAACCTAGACTGAATTTTTTTCCGTGAGCGGCTGACCGTGGCAACTCGATCCTACCGCCTGTGGAATTCTGCTCCTGAGGCTTGGCGGAGTCTCGCGAGCTCAGGCAGAGATCCGGCGCTCCTCGTGATGCTACCCCGGCTGAGACAAGGCGGAAGCTTCGACACAAATGACCATCTTCGCTCTTCCCGCTGTATCCTTCTTCCGCATGGGTTTCTACGATTGAGTTCTTCGACCGGAAATGCAGCACGTTCTCGTTTGAACGTTTACGCACACTAATGCTCAACTCGCTTACGTGTATTCATCTGTTCTCTCATGATCCGATTCAAACGTTGCTTCGAATCCCCCCCAGCTCCCCCCTTTAGTGCTAATGACACCATGAGACCCATTGGATCCGACAATCGATTATATCGACCACGAGGCCGCTTATGGGAGCCACTACGTTCGGAAACGTCTCAAATCAGATACATGATTTCCCGCAGCTCCTGGTGATCGTTCCAAGGTCTGCGAGTCGTTCTCGAGACGGATTTCAGGGCGGAAATGTCTTCGACGCCACACCGATGACAGAGAGTGGGTCAACCTCAAGCAGCCAAGCAAGGCAAGCTTTTTCATCAGAACTCTTCCCTCTCAAATAACAGGGAGGACCATCGATGATGGATGGCCTTGATGGGGTGCCCTGAAAATATCTCAACGACAGAATCTCAATCAAAATAAATCACTCGACAATGAGCCTTTACAGCGAATTCTCAACTCAGATTCTGATGCGGAAAAAATCTCTGTTCTTCTCTCGCATTAATCGCGACTCGAATTGGAACCCGGGAGGGATTCGCCCCGAGCTCAAGCCGTCATGATAATACATACAACGTGAGCGTCTT